GGGTTCTAAAATTTTGTCATAAGCTGAAAATTTTATGTTAAACTATCATATACACTGAATCTTAACTTGGTTTGGACATGCATGAATGATTTGAATATGAGTTGTGGATAAAAAAAAAAAGAGAGAAAAGAAATCTGAATTTGCGGCCTTGAAAAGGAATTGAACATTTAATTAGTTTCTTTCGAATTTTAGCTAAGACCCTTGTATTGGATGTTAAGAGTAGGTTATAGCTGGTTAATCGGCTTTTGAATGATAAGTGTTCAGTGATTAAAGCAAGCTAAGGATGGAAACCTTGTTGAATTTTATTTTGAAGTATCTTTGCTAGAAACTCGTACTTGGATGCTAGCTGTACTAGTTCAAGCTTTTAGCGAGTTTATTTTCTGGATTCGTGTATTGTTCGCTTTGGTTTAATTTGAGCGGACTATAAACTATATGCTTAGTGATTCTAGCAAGTAAAAAAAAAAAGGAAGGTAATGGATATTTTGAATTCCTAGAATTGTTTGGAACTCAAGTTGGCTGGATTTTTCTTCTTGTTTTGAATGGATTAGTGATTGAACGTGATTAATTATTGTCAAGAGCTAATGATTGATGAAGCTCTTGACCATTTGAATAGTTTTTGCAAGAATTTAATTTTAATAAATTTGTTCAAATGGTTGGCTGAAATGTACTTGGGAGGTCCATGGTTTGCATTTTTGATTGTTTTGATACCTTGGACTTCCTTTATTGAATTTTGTTTAGAATTGAATTTTTCTTGAAACTTAGGGCTAATGATTGATGAAGCCCTAGTGGAATTGATATTTGGTTTGTAATGTTTCTATATTGGTGACTTGGAATCCATTGTGCAAGTGAGCCAGAATTGTGAAGATTGTTTTGGTCATTTGTTTTATTTTTGATCAGCAATGAATCTGTTGAAACCTAGGGCTAATGATCGACGAAGCCCTAGTGATATTGCCGTTTGAAATGTGATTTTGCTATATTGGTAAATCTGAGATATAATGTGCTTATGAATCGGAATCTGAAAAGTTCGTTTGGACCCTGTGAACTTGAGTATTTTCAAATCGGGCCACATGAATATATTTTACTCTATGTATTAAATTACAAAAATTCGTCTTGTACGATCACGTGAGAAATTCGGGATTTGAAATACATTGTCAAATAGTTATCTCTTTTCCTAGCTTAAATCGGCTTTATTATTTTTGGAAAATGATTTCATTTGTTTTTAAAACCCTAGGTATTATTTTATTTTCTTTTCTTTCCTTAAAATTTGTCCCTGGCTAGTTGTTTTTGAGAAATTCATTACAAATGCGAGATTTTAATAGTTTTAAACAAAAGGCGTAGAAAACTTGTTCGGCAAGAAAACTCACTTGACATAAATAAGTTCTATTTGCACCTCTAGAAAGAAAAGTATTTCTCTTAAAAGAAATCATACGGAATGCTTTATCACTCTTACTAGTTTTAATTTCAAAAGAACGGTTAAGTTACTTCGAGAAAATAATCTAGTTATACAACCCGATAATTTTATATATTGTATAGTAAAACTTATAGTTTTAAAAACCTGGTTTTCTAGGGTATAGCGAGGACGTGGAATTTTGAATCCCAGCTTGACCTTTGAACTTCACTCTTGGTGAGTGTCCCTGGTTGTTCTATGCCTACTTGATTAAAGTGCTTTTCTTGACTTGATATGTGAAAACTGGAAAATGGTTTCTGATCCATCGAAGTGAGCAGTGTGTACTTTATCACACTAGCCTTTCGAGTGGTGACTTGTGTGAAATGTTTTCGTGAACATCCTGCTTGCACTTGCTAAGCACTGAGTAGGGGAATGTACCACACCTGACGGTGAGAAGGCCTCTTATCCTATCTCATGTGTTAAGTACTGAGTAGGGGAATGTACCACACCTGAGGGTGGGAGGGCCTCTTATCCTATCTCAAATACTAAATCACTAGGCAGGGGAATGTACCACACCTTAAGGGTGGGAGGGCCTCTTATCCTGACCTAGTAACCACGTGTTGGACGTGACGTCGTTGGATGAATCCCTCGACTAGTTTATCCAGGGGGTATACTCGACTACTACCGCTCTCATTCATTTTGTCGTACGGGCCCGGAGCTGGGGTATGTCTGGTGGTCGGAGTTAAGTAAAATAAGTAATTCTACATGGACCGTAAGTAGTGAGAGTTGACGGAGGGTCAACTACGGTAAATGTTGATCAAGCACGGAACTTGGCTCTTGAGAGCCCCTGTATCCTACCTTGGGTTGTTATCCGCTTTCCTACTTGGTTACTTTAGTCCATATTAATTCTTGCTGTTTATTTGTTTAGATGCATGTTTTGGGGCACCACTGAGATTTAGCACACCCCACGTTTATTTGTTTTCCTTGACAGGCTTTGAAGCTTGAGAAATCTGAACTGAGTTGGTTTCTTTTAAATTGTACTTGAACTTTACGACTTCAACTTACAGCTTGTAATGTATTCTGAATTGAACTACGCAGTTGTTACTTTGGATTGCCACTTGAAGCTGGAAAATGGGTAAACTCTGATTCGGATATTTGGCTTGTATGTTTGTAATTGTGGTGTATGTATTTATGTAATCGGAGTTATACGATCTTACTCCTCGGATTTAGTGCGTGAGATGTTTAGGTGCCGTCGTCTGGTTGTTTTACTTTACTGTTATCCTTGAAGTTAATGTAGTTTGGTTGTTGATCGTTTTAGAGAGAAGCGTTATTGTAATAGTTAGATTATTATTCGAAAGGATTTGGGTTAGTGTGCTTGCGTGAGTCCTGGCGAGAATTGGGTAGACGGCCCGCCAACCCTCTGGTTCCCCTTAGGGGGAAATGGGGTCGCCACAGTGAAATTACATGAAATGAATCACTTAAAATCACATAGGTGCACCTCACTTTCGTGAGTGTACACCCTATGCTTAGCACTTCTTGAACCAGTGTTAAATCTCAATTTTCACTGCAGAAACAACATCTTAGATAATCACAACTAATGGTACCAGATTAATCATGATTTAAAGAACCAAAATACTAAATAACTTGCTCAAATCATAGCAATCAAATAACCAAATAATAAACACTAAAAATCATAGAAAGTTCAACCAAACCCAAGGCATAAACTTTAGAAATACATATTAAACACAAAATCCAGAACTTGTATATTAACTAAACTTAGAATAAAAACAAAAGATAAAGAGTTGGAAAGAAAGGTAACCCTTGTCACATGAGCTCTTCCCTTGCCTTTTTCATCTCCATCTTCATCTTTGCCTAACTAATAAACAAGTAGAATGAACTATACTAGCTAAACTAACCTACACTAAGAAGATGAAAGAACTACATTTTTGCAGACCAAGTTTCTCCCGTATCTCTCTCTTCTTGGATCCCCTCAATCTTGCAAGTCTTGGTTATTTTACGATGAAAGTTAGTCAAGAATTGAGGTTTACACCTTCCTTTTACAGCTGGGAATGTTTCTCACATGTATGGCATTGAATGTGACTTAGTGGAGGTGAAATTGAGTTTTTCGCGTAAAGAGCAGCCTTCTCTGACCACAATCTGGCTAGAAATCCGGCCAGATTCTTACCGGATTGCTACAGTGACCTTTTGGTCACTTTCTGCTCAATTTCCAGCTCTGCTCTAATTTTGACTCAATTTTAACTGCATTTTTCTTGATGATAAAAGTTGATTTAGCTCTGGACCAAAACATGAAACTTATAATCCTTTGCGTTAGCTTTCCAATGCATCAATAATCACCTCATTTGGATTTGTGTAGGCTAAAAATGACTGAAATACCCTTGCCTGTTCACTGCCCTGTTTCAGCTTCGACCGTAGAAAATTAACCACTGTACTTCAGCTTTTTGACCTAGACAACCTTTAAATGGGATTCCGATGTCTTCACCAAAGTTGTAGATATCTCTTATCTTCAAATTGATTTAAGAATTATCTCAATCCGATCTCTGTAACTCAAGTTATAGCCGAAATACGAAAATGTGTCAACTCTTTTTGTTCCCCTTTTCTTAAATTTCTTTAATTTTACATTGCTTGTAGAGTGCAGTAGGTGGAGCTGAATTATGGGTTGGACCCAATCCTGTCCTAAACTTGTTTTCATGGTGAGACCAGTATGTTGTGCTACAAATGTGCAAAAATGATCGTAATTTCTCAAGACGACGTCAATGTTGAAGGAATTGGACAGAAAATTTTCTAAGCGAGCATTAACCTCGCGGATTGCTGCGCATGTTCTTTGGCCCATTTTTCTCCTCTTAAACAGAAAAGATTGAGGATTACAGAATAGTAGACTTCATAAGAGTTTAGCGGACTCTAACTTTCTCAAAACGGGAGTCCATTTTTAACCATTCAAACACAGTATGATCCTTGGTATATGATTTGAACGACCTCATAATTGTCTAATAGTTCCAAATAATATAGACAATCTGCAGAAACAAAAAATGTTGTCTTGATTCTTCCAAGATCTCAATCACAATATAAGCGAAAAATATGGAAAGAAACGGGTAAAATACATCTAAGATCCACGTAGAAGTTGAAACAACTTTCTCAAGTTGAGAACTTCAACAAGATATCTAACTCCACCAATAGCAATGCCAGGCTCTGTTATGCTATTGCTTTTGTGTTATTGTCTGATTATTATTTATTACGTTATCTAGCACCAGACAAAAGCACAAAATGAGATCTTATTGAATAAATTTTCAGTTGGACAATCAACACAATATAGCCAGGACTTAAGTCCTTTGTGTTGTTACTCAAAAGAACATCATCTAACCTAAAATGCAAATTACTCTTCTATTGCAATTAGCTTAAAATTTTCTACTATTACATGAATAACAGGTATTACAATCAAAGTCAGGCTGCAAAATCTCGACCCATGAATTGTAGCACAGGCAAAATTTCCCTCAATCACCTATGAATCACAAGAAGAAGAAAATGAAAGTAAAACCAATACCATCACTCATAATTCATCAAACCCTTCAGTTTTCCTCTTTTTCCTCTTCTTCTTTCAACTCTGCTCTGCAGAATCACTTCTCTCTCCACCATCAACCTTCCTGCTCTTCCTCTTCTTCCCTTTTTCGCTTCCAACATTTTCTCCATCATCTCCACCCTCATTCTTTTTTCTCTTCTTCTTCTTATCCTTACTCTTGACACCTTTAACTCCATCCATGTCTCTTTTAATTTCCACAATCTCTTGCTCAGTATTATTCTTAATCTTATCTATTTCCTCTCTATCTTCACCTCTCCCAATCTTCTCCTGTTTCTTCTTTTTCCTTTCCTCCCCAACCCCACTATCAGGGCTTCGCTTAATCTGTTCTCTCTGCTCACTCCTCACCTCCGATTGGCTATTTTTCTTTCCTTTTTTGCCAACATTTTCTCCATCCTCCTCACCCTCATCCTTCTTTTTCTTCTTCTTATCCTTCCTCTTCACACTTTCACCTTCAACTCTATCAATAATGTTCCTTTCAACTTCCACAATCTCTTGCTTAGCCTTATTCCTACCCTCATCTCTTTCCTCTGCATCTTCACCTCTCACAATCTTTTCATGTTTCTTCTTTTTCCTTTCCTCCCCAACCCCATCAGGGCTTTGCTCAATCTGTTCTCTCTCCTTATTCCTTAACTCCGATTGGCCAGTTCTCTTATCTTTTCTGTTCTTGTCCGAACTTCTCTATACCTTAACTTTGTCAAGCCTATCTGCTTGCTGGCCAATCTTCAACAAGCCTTCAGTGCTCGGTTAAAATTCGTGATTTTTCTTATGTTTTCCCTTCTTTTTCGACCTTTTCACGGCGTTAACTTCATCAATCCCTCATTTATCCTTCTCAATCTTTAATGGTTCTTCATCATTTACCTCTAATTCGCGATTTTTATTCCGCTTGCTCTTACTTTCCACATTCTTGATCTTTTCTTCATCTGGATTTTTGTCAACGGTGGCTAAAGTTTCAATCTTTGTATCAACAACAAGAGATTGAGATGCCTTACGTTTGCGATTCGAATGGGGCGCTTTTAGCTCCTTGTGGAATTGAACCAAGTTGTTGAAGGCATCAGAAGCGCGTTTCAGATACACGCGGACGGCATCGGAAGCTCCGTTCTTCTCTTCCTGGGAGGCGAAGTTGGAAAGGTTTTTGGCTGCTGAAGATAGAGAGACTGACTTTGTTGGTACCACTTGGCCTGTGACAGTCTTCATTGGAATTTGACTATTTTAATACTTTTTGGGGTTAATTCAGCTGCGATTTAGGGTTTAAGGGGTTTTCATCGGGGTGGCGATCAGTTCAAATCGGGTTGACGGGTCGGGTTGAGACTTGGATATAACAAAAAATCCCGCTAACTCGAACTCGAAAATTTTAGATTGGATTAGCGAGTCGATATGAAATGATTCAAAATTTAATTTTAATTTATTAATTTATCATTATATTTTTTTACAAAACCAATTTCCCACAAGATTAATTACATAATCAAGTAATAAAATTTTAAATAAATACTTCCAAATCAAATATAAAATAAATAAAAATAATATAATACAGTATTTATTCAAATGTAATAATTTCAACTTCACACAGGTTAAATAAATTCATTTAAGATTAAGTGATTATTGTCTTTGGAAAAAAAGAATAACTTAGTTTAGTTAGATAAAATAATTTTTATGTTTATCAAATTATCTTTAATTCATAAAAGGATTATCGGATCACCTACGGGTTGATTCGAATTCGACTCGTTTTCTTTTTAGGATTCATCGGGTTTGACCCGATTTTCATCCGAACCCGCGACACCTCAATTAAAATTCATTAATTTCGCGTTAAATTCATGCGTCGTGTCAAAATTTTGGAGGGTTAGATTTTTGAAGGTGAAGTCAAATGGGGTCGAAGACAATGACATTTGGTTTCTCGGACCCTCAGCCAAGCCCGGAATCTGAAACAGATCAGACCCAATAAAACAAGAACTGCTAAAGTAGGGCAAAAATTTTTCTAAATGAAAATGTAACACGTTAAAATAAATTTCCCGCTGCAAAAATAGGAAATAGGAAACTTAGGAGTCAATAGCATGTACAAGTTTGATAAGACCATTGAAATGCACACGAGATCTTCGGTCTTCCTCAAAAAAAAAGTATACGTTGTCATACGTACAAACATGAATGTGATACATATTTACATATAACAATTGATTTAGGATTCTCTTGATGGAATACACTTGAGTAATAACAAGTAATACTGATATCTTGCTCAATTTCATGTTAGCATCACATATTATAAGATACAGAATAAAATATAGATTTGTGTTGAATTATCTTCTAAACTTCACCCTTACAAAATGGAGAAAAATTAAAACACAAACCAAAGGGGGAGAAAGGGAAAATTTTCAATTATATCATGTCAATTGGTCATTCTTCTCAATAATAAATATAAAACTGTTTTCAACATTCTTACAAAATAATAGATAACATGTATCTTAAAAAAGGTTATTACTTTTCTCCTATTCTTAATGTAATAACGTTAATTTTGTAGTTATGAATGGACTGAATATACAACGTATGAAGGGAATGTTTGGTTGAATGATAAGATAGAAGAGATTATGAATGAGAAATTTTGAAATAAAGTTGTATATCTTACTTACACAAAGTTTTAAAAAAATACAAAGGTGTATGCTTGTGTTTATTTACTTTAAATTACACATTTACCTTGTTTCATGTTTTCCATTTACTCAAAATCTTACATTGATACCTTCCTCATCTCTTTTCATCTTGAAATTCTTATAATTTTATCTAAAGAAAGCTACTATTAGAAAACTTCCTCCTCAATTTTCATCTTGAATTCTTATTTTTTTCTTCTCTTAATATTCCTGTTATTTTCTCTAAAGATAGCGAGCATTAGATTTACTCTTTGGAGGGTTAGAAGGCATCTAAACTCCTTACATATTAAACTTTCATAAAATTTCAAAATCAAAGATTAAAATGAACACAAAAATTTAGAAAATTCATTAGCTATTTTTGGTACAAAGTCCTTTTATCTTTCTATTTGCTTAAAAGGGGGGTGAGGAAAATAAGAATAACATATTTAATGCAATTCCGTTTGTTAGACTCGATCCCACAATCGCTTTCGACGGAGGAAAAATAAGCTAATCGAACCCTGCAACGTTCTCACTCCACCAGCACACCGTCATGAAAACTAGGTCAACCGTTCGTACAAATTTTTAGTTCAGCTATTGACTTTATATGTTGCCTCTGCCAGCTTTATTTATCAGTTTTGGAACCGCTGAGAAACTCTAAAACCCTCCCGCCTAATTCTTAAACCTCAGTTTTTCTGCGTAAATTAGCAAACATTAGGAAAAATGACGAGGATAGCGCAACCTCCGATTCAATTCACAAAACAGCCCTACATTGAAGATGTCGGCCCCCAAAAAATGTAACTGATCTCTACTGCTATTGCTCTATTTTTTTTTGGGTTAAATCTTAAATAAGTGAAATTTCAACGTGTTTGATAATTTCTTTACTTTTTTTTTGCGGAAATTTGTGAACAGAGAAAGTATTCAATTTTCTACATTCGGAGAATTCGAGATTCTGAAAGCAGTTGAAGTGCAAGTATACCGCGGTGTATATTATGATTCTGCGAAAAAGTCTTGGGAGAATGGCTTATTAGACCCTCATATGGTATCTTATTTAACGTTCATTGTTTCTTTTAATAGTGGTGAACTATTTTTACGTACGATGAACTGATAGCTGTGATTCATTTTCCACATTTTCTATCTGATGGAGAAGAAAATATATCTGCTGTTGTTATTTCACATTTAAAAGAAGAAGAGAAGCGGAGTTCGAATAAATGGCATTTTCTAGGGAACTGATGATGCATCAGTTATCTTTTAGGTCTCTTTTGTGCGGTTAGAGTTTGTTTAATCTGTCAAATTATGCGATAGGAATTGTTTTGTTCAGTAAATTACTTGTAATAGTCTATTGATAAGGGGATCACTTCCAGTGACTTTCTAATTTTCTAACAAGCTAAATCAATGTTGTTTTTGAATGTATGTACTGCTGTTGTTTCCAATTTATTTATAGTTCAGAAGTGTATTAATTTATTGGTTACATTTTTGAGTTTCTGGAATTGATATTAGAAATCTTCTGAAAGGTGCTGTTTGGTCCAGGGCCCCGCAAACAAGAATGGAATTTGTGAAACATGCCATGGGAACTTTAGAGAATGTCCAGGGCACTACGGATATTTGACTCTTGCTCTACCAGTTTACAATGTTGGATACTTGATTACTGTCCTCGACATCTTGAAGTGCATTTGCAAGGTAGATGCTTATAGTTCTACTTATATGTTTGTGCATAGTGTTTACTTTGACCTGCAAATCTCTCTCTCTCGCTCTCTCTCTCTCTCTTTTGGATTCAAGTTGATGCAAAGTATACTTCTTATTTGCTGTTGGTTCATCATTTTGTACGTAGGACTGACTTGAATAATTATGGGAGTGCTAGGATGATATTCTTTTGTCTGAAAAAAATTCTTTTACCAATCTGCCTTCTATTTGCCACTTGTATCCTCATGTGCCCAAAAAAAAAATCCCTTCTCCTTGCACTCAGAACATGCAAAGAGGTGCTGTTTCTAGAAGCGACTACTTCTGCACGTGGGAAATGCCAAATTTGCTAATGGGAGTCATCTGTAGAAGCAGCTCTGAATAGTTTAAGACTATCATCTTGGAATGTTAAGAGGTTAAAATGGCCTTCTCATTTTTCTGTTGGGATTGTAGCTAGTGATATGGTATTTGGTAAGTTCTTCTAATGAAAATTTCATCTGAATTTTTAAGATAAAGTTTCTTTCGGAAGTTTCCTTCCATTACTGGGAGTCAAAACCCAAGAATTTTTCCAAAGTGACTCCAAAAATACATTTTTTGGAGTTTAGCTTCATCCGAGTCTCTCATAGGATCTCGAGGACTTCCTTTAGGTCGGATATGAAGGTGGAGGTTTTTTGGCTCTTGAGGAGGATGTCGTCCACGTAGGCTTCCACATTCCTTCCTATTTGGGATTTGAAGGCTCGGTTTACCAAACGCTGGTACTTAACCCCGGCGTTCTTCAACCCAAAGGCATGGTAGTGTAGCCGTATACACCTCGATCTGTGTATAAGGCTATCTTCTCCTGGTCTTCCTTACTCATCCCAATCTGATGGTACCCCTTGAAGGCGTCAAGAAAACAGAGGATCTCGTAGCCCATAGCCAAGTCCACCAGGGTGTCGACTCGGGGAAATGGGTAACAGTCCTTGAGACAGGGTAACAGTCCTTGAGACAGACCTTGTTCAGGTCGGTGAAATCCACGCACATTCTCTAGGCCCCGATGTCCTTCTTGACCATAACCGGGTTAGATAACCACGTCGGGTATTGAACTTCCTGGATCATCTTGGCGGGAAGGAGTTTGTCTACTTCTTCACCAGTGGCTCGGCTACGTTCCGGGCCGAAGTGCCTTCTCTTCTGCTGAATCGGACCTGCCTAAGGGTCTACATTCAGCTTATGTATCATGAGGCGATGGGGCACACCTTGGACCTCGTCGGCAGCCCAGACAAAGACATTCCGGTACTACTTGAGGAGACCCACTGTGTCTTTCTTGATTGAATCCGATAAATGGACGCCGACGCTAACCGTCTGATCCGGCTTTGAAGGGTCCATGGGATATCCTCCACCTCATCTCCGGTCTCTAGCCTCTGGGGCTTCCCGATTTGCTGAGGATCGATACAATTGATTGAAAGGATATTTGACCTCTTTTCGGACCAGGGCTAGGAGGCCGACGTAGAAGCGGCTTGCAAAGTAGCGAGGTAACACTCTCGCGCTGCACATACATCGCTGTTAACCTCAATGACTCCTGCCAGGTTGGAAACTTAAAAGTCAGGTGGTACGTGGAATACACCGCATGGAGAGCATTAACCGTGGGTCGGCCCATGAGCAAGTTGAAGGGAGAGTCGATTTTGACCACAACAAAGTTGACAGTAATGGTTCGGCAGCGAGGGTGGTGACCCACGGTCACTGTTAGGGTCATCACCCTTTCTGGATGCACGACGTGTCCCCCAAGCCCTACTAGGGGCGTCCTAACTGGGGACAGCTGTTCTCTTGTCTGGTTCAAAATTTCAAAAGTTCGGAAATACATGACGTCTACCGAGCTTTCCGGACCAACATAAACCTTCTTCACGATGTAGTTGTTGGTGAGGATCTCGATCACCAAAGCTTCGTGGCTGCTCGAGGCAGCGGGAACGGGGTCGTTAGGGCCATAAGATATCACTTCGGACAAGCGTGAGCTCGGCTCGGCCTGCACAGTGTTGGCCTGCCTGTAGGTCCTCTTCCGGGAGTTCTGATTGTCCCCTCCTGTCAGACCTTCGGCAATAGTGTTGATGACCCCAGCGATGTTCGGTCCATATCCTAACCCGTGGCCTGAGGACCCGTCTGGCGGAGGTCTTTTTGTCTCCCTGGGGTCCTCAGGAGGTCGGCAACTGCTACTCGACCCTCGTCTGTCTTCTCGGTGCCGATCACCTCGGTCATCACGTCGAGAGTCGGCGCGTTGGTAACCTCGTTCTTGGTGGATAAACTGCTTCAAGTGTCCTTACTTACTGAGGCGCTCAATATCCCTCTTGAGGTCATTGCAGTCTTCTGTCTCGTGCCCGATATCTCGGTGGTACAAGCAGTAGAGGTTAGAGTTCCTCTTATCTCTACTCCCGGCCATCTTTGAAAGGGCACACCCGAGGTTATTCTGCTCCACGACGAAGAGCACTCGGGATCGAGTAGCGTTCAAAGGCGTCAGGTCGGACTCGGGGATAGATGTCTTCCCTTTAGATATCCAATTGAACACACTTTGACGATCCCGGCTGAGGCTTTGAAAGCCACCAACAGCGCCTGCCTCACTTCGGCCGGATTCCTTCTTCCTTCTGGGATCGGTCCCCGAGCGAGTTGTTTGGACCTCCTTCTTCATTCGATTGAGATCTTCGGCTTGTATGCCTTTTTTTACCTTCAACCAGAGTTCATGGAGTGTACGAGGATACTTCTTGTGTATCCCTGTATTAAATACCCCGGCCACGAGTCCGTGGGTGAACGCAGCTATAATAACATGTTCATTAGGATCAGGTATCAACACGCTTTCCTCATAGAATCTCTGTACATAGGACCGAAGTGATTCTCCGGGGTTCTGCTGCATATTCAGCAGGTAAGCCGAGGTCCTAGTTGTGGGTCTGGAGGACATGAATCGGTGGAGAAATCTCTCCACGAGCTCTCCTAGGGTGGATATGCTCCTAGATTCCAGACTCCAGAACCATTTTCGAGCTGTCCCCTGAAGGAATACTTGAAAAGCCCGATATATAACGCGGTCGGAAATGCAATATAATCAAAATGCCGAGATAACAGTGCAAATGTGATCTTCAGAATCACCTCGGCCGTCGTATGAATTTTTTGAGGGAAGCTTGAAGTTGGGAGGAAGCTTTTTCTCGTTGATTTCATCCGTAAAGGGTGGGGCTCTCATATAATCCACCCCAGGCCTCCCGAGATGTCGAGACTCTTCTTCGCTTCGCCTCCCTAGCAAGTCTCGAGAAAACGCCTTTGTGATAGAGGCAATTTTGGAAATGGCCTTAGAAGAGACTCGCTTCGGGGTGCTCCTAATGGAGTGCCTTCCCTCAGATTCCTCATCAGAGGAGTCTTCAGGGGACCCATCTGATTTCCTTGTAGAGGACTCGACCTTTTGTTTGCCTTGTCTCTTGAAATATCTTCCCAACTCTTCAAAGATATTGGAGTTTTCACTTACAAATTCGGCCATACGAGCTATGACTTCTTCGTTTGCAGGCTGAGTTATAACAGACTCCTATCCTTCAGAGGCATTCTCCTGTTGGGCCGCAGCACTTTGCTCAGCTCCAATGGCAAGAGTCTTTCTGCTCCTAGAACGCGTAGGTTTCATCTTTTGATGTTTTCGTTCTCACAGACGGCGCCAATTGAAGAGGTGATTTCTGACCTCACGAAGTGATTACTGAAGTCGGAGGTGCCCTGGCCTGAAGAGATCAAAGCGCCCGGATCACCTGCTCAGATACTAAGAAGAGGGGCTGAATCCCCCGGTATAACTCCGAGACTTAAGTTAGTTTGGATAAGAGTGAGTGATATCAGAGAGAAAGTATTAGCTTTTTTACCAGAGATTTGGCATCCCCCCTCTCAGAGGGAGTTTCTGATATTTATAAGAGGCACGAGAGAAGGACTACAGGTACAGGTCCCTAGAAATCCGATACAGGCAGTGTATCCAATTGATTTGACTAGTCCCCATGGAGGGGCGTGTCGGAACAGTCGTCAGAGTCAGGCGGCGCATGTCAGAGTAGCCATCTGTTAGGTGTCAACTGTGTCAGAGGTCACATCCTATCCCATTCCGGCTCAAACCTTTAGATGCCACCTCGACGTCACGAGAGACGCCTCGCACCGGAACGAGAACTCTGGTCGGGACCACCTCGACGATTAGGCGAACGAGGTGGCACCTGTAGGGATAGCAGAAGGATGAAACCCCAGGTAGTCCGAACCGAAATGACCATTCTCATATTGTATTATTGTTGTTGTTGTTGTTATAAATTTTCTTCCGTTAAATCTTTCAATTTGGTAAATGTAACGAAAGAACCATTAGAACAAAAAAGGACTTCATAAAAGTTTAGCGGACTCTAGCTTTCTCAAAACGGGAGTCCATGTTTAAAACACAGTATGATCCTTGGTATATGATTTGAACGACCTCATAATTGTCTAATAGTATAGACAATCTGCAGAAACAAACAATGTTGTCTTGATTCTTCCAAGATCTCAATCACAATATAAGCGAAAAATATGGAAAGAAACGGGTAAAATACATCTAAGATCCACGTAGAAGTTGAAACAACTTTCTCGAATTGAAAACCTCAACAAGATATCTAACTCCACCAATAGCAATGCCAGGCTCTGTTATGCTATTGCTTTTGTGTTATTGTCTGATTATTATTTATTACATTATCCAGCACCAGACAAAAGCACAAAATGAGATCTTATTGAATAAATTTTCAGTTGGACAATCAACACAATATAGCCAGGATTTAAATCCTTTGTGTTGTTACTCAAAAGATCATCATATAACCTGAAATGCAAATTACTCTTCTATTGCAATTAGTTTAAAATTTTCTACTATTACATGAACAACAGGTATTACAATCAAAGTCAGGTTGCAAAATCTCGACCCATGAATTGTAGCACAGGCAAAATTTCCCTCAGTCACCTATGAATCACAAAAAGAAGAAAATTAAAGTAAAACCAATACCATCGCTCATAATTCATCAAACCCTTCAGTTTTTCTCTTTTTCCTCCTCTTCTTTCCACTCTGCTCTGCAGAATCACTTCTCTCTCCACCATCAATCTCCCTACTCTTCCTCTTCTTCCCTTTTTCGCTGCCAACATTTTCTCCATCATCTCCACCCTCATTCTTTTTTCTCTTCTTCTTCTTATCCTTACTCGTGACACCTTCAACTCCATCCATGTCTCTTTCAATTTTCACAATCTCTTGCTCAGTATTATTATTAACTTTATCTTTTTCCTCTCTATCTTCACTTCTCCCAATCCTCTCCTGTTTCTTCTTTTTCCTTTCCTCCCCAACCCCACTGTCAGGGATTCGCTCAATCTGTTCTCTCTGCTCACACCTCACCTCCGATTGGCTATTTTTCTTTCCTTTTTTGCCAACATTTTCTCCATCCTCCTCACACTCATCCTTCTTTTTCTTCTTCTTATCCTTCCTCTTCACACTTTCACCTTCAACTCCATCAGTAATGTTCCTTTCAACTTCCACAATCTCTTGCTTAGCCTTATTCCTACCCTCATCTCTTTCCTCTGTATCTTCACCTCTCACAATCTTTTCATGTTTCTTTTTTTTCCTTTCCTCCCCAACCCCATCAGGGCTTTGCTCAATTTGTTCTCTCTCCTTATTCCTTAACTCCGATTGGCCAGTTCTCTTATCTTTTTTGTTCTTGTCCGAACTTTTCTGTACCTTAACTTTGTCAAGCCTATCTGCTTCTTGGCCAATCTTCAACAAGCCTTCAGTGCTCGGCTCAAATTCACGATTTTTCTTATGTTTTCCCTTCTTTTTCGACCTTTTCACGACGTTAATTTCATCAATCCCTCCTTTATCCTTCTCAATCTTTAACGGTTCTTCATCATTTATCTCTAATTCGCGATTTTTCATCTACTTGCCCTTACTTTCCACATTCTTGATCTTTTCTTCATCTGGATTTTTGTCAACGGTGGCTAAAGTTTCAATCTTTGTATCAACAACAAGAGATTGATATGCCTTACGTTTGCGATTCGAATGGGGCACTGTATTTTTTTATTTTAATATATTAATTTATCACTGTATTTTTTTATAAAACCAATTTCACACATGATTAATTACACAATCAAGTAATAAAATTTTAAATAAATAATTCCAAATCAAATATAAAATAAATAAAAATAATATAAAAGTAAAAAATAATATAATACAGTATTTATTCAAATGTAATAATTTTAACTTCACACAGGTTAAATAAATTCATTTAAGATTAAGTGATTAATGTCTTTGGAAAAAAAGAATAACTTAGTTTGAAATCTTCATCTTTGGTTGATTGTTTGACCTAATTTTTTTTCCTTCTCCTTTGGCGGCTGCTAGGGTTTAGCATGTCCGCGGCCATGGAGGCCCCCCAGCCGCACGCTGGGGATCAGGCTCCCTCGGCTCCTTCTTTTCTCCGTAAATCCTTTGCTGCTTTTTTTTTTCTAACAATGCAGCCACGCCCTCGCTGTCCGTTCAGGCGACTCCCTCCACCCACAAAGGGAAGCCTGCGTTGATATTCTCGCAAGCAGCCATGGAGAAGCTTGCTGCTCCATATCGACTTGCATTGGTGGGAAAATTCTCAAGGGGTCGACCGAAGCTAGAGGATGTTCGACTTTTTTTGCGCAAGTTAGACTTGCGTGACCCAGCGACTGTGGGATTGTTGGACGCACGCCATGTGCTGCTGCAGTTCAATTCGGATGCTGATTTCCATAGAGTGTGGTCGAGGGGGATTTGGTATGTTCATGGCCACCCAATGAGGGTCTTTAAATGGACTACAACGTTTCATGTCGATCGTGAGCCAGCTATTGTTCCGGTGTGGTTCCAGATGCCCAAACTGCCTTTGCATCTGTTCCATAAGGAAACGCTGTTCCAAATTGCTGCGGTAGTGGGCGTGCCTCTGCTAGTTGATGCCGCAACCTTGGCGGTGTCCAGACCAAGCGTTGCTAGAGTCTGCGTGGAGGTAGATTTGATGAAGCAAATACCTTCAAGGGTATGGATTGGGACCGGACAACATGACGGTTTCTGGCAGGAATTGGTGCCGGAAAATCTGCCCCCTTATTGTCCCCATTGCTTCAAGCAGGGGCATTCGGAGGGGGACTGTTGTGTGTTACGTCCAGAGTTGAAGCCCGTCAAGGTTGGGGGTGATGGGGAGAGGGCTGGGCAACAGGCGGAAGGGGGCGTTATGCCCAGGCAGAGACTGTGCGAAGGGGTGTAAGATGGCACGCCATTGATGTTGGCAAGGTCAGCTCCGGATCAGGAGACTGCAGCGCCGAATTTGTCGGGTGGGGCGCTACCACGTGGGACGGCAGCGCTAGTGGAGACTCAGGAAATGGTGGCTGGTGCTGTGGTGTCCAATTCCCAATCCGCTGGTGCCGCGGCTTTGCTAGCGGATTCACAGTCTGCGGCGGATGTTGTGGTGTCGGCTGGGAAGGAGTTGAACTTTGCGCAGGAGACTTGCGCTACTGGTGCAGTAGCGGTTTGAGGACTTGAGGTGGTGTTGGCGGGAGGACAGTATGTGAGTAAGGAGGTTGATGATTGTGGTATGGTTACGTGCATGGGATCAGCGGCACGGCAAGCAACAGGGAATCACATGGGTTCTAAAGATGTCTTGGCAGAGGATGAGGAGCTTCGTGAATTGCAGGAGCGGGTGGGTACTCTGTCTCCAAGAGGTGAGTCCCACATGGTGACTAAAGTAGCCTCTCCGACAATAAGTGACCAACAGATGGATGCACTGAATCTCGAACCCAACGAACTATCTCTAATGCAGCAAGATGGGCCGAAGAAAAAAGGTAATAAGCTCATTGCCCCGGCTGGTCGTATTTTACGCTCTAGAGTAATCGATTCGCGGAATCCTTATTCAGCATTATCTGATGATTAGATGTCTTTTTTGGAATATTCGGGGTGTCTCTCGTGCCCCTAATTTAAAAAGGTTACGTAAACTTGTTAAGCTTTACTCAGTGTCGTTGGTCGCGATTTGTGAGCCTAAGACTTCCCTTCTGAACCTGGATTCTATCAGGGTGAAGGTGGGAATGGACTTAGCTGTTGCGAATCAATCAGGTAGTGTTTGGGTTTTGTACAAGTCGTCGTTTGATTGTCAGACAATGGGGGAATCTGAGCAGCACATCACGCTGCACGTGGTTTCCCAGTTATTGCCTGAGGAGATGTATTTTTCTTTCGTTCATGCAAAGTGGTGCCCAGGAGAGGGAGGGGCTCTGGGAAGAGCTGTTGAGAGAGAAGCAGGATGTTAAGCCATGGTTTCTGGTGGGAGATTTTAACGTCATTTTGTCTGCAGAAGAGAAACGGGGCGGCGTTCCTTTCAGGCAGGCTGATGGGGTGGAGTTAGCACAGTTCATGTCTTTAGCAGGGATTGGAGATGCTGGCTACTCAGGGTCTAGGTATACTTGGTGTAACAATAGGCAAGGTATGGCCAGGGTTTGGAAACGGTTGGACAGGATGCTGATTAATTCAGCAGCTATGAGGATGGGAAGTGAGTTCACAGTACAGCATTTGGGGAGGGACCCATCGGATCATGCGCCACTCCTTTTATCTGCGGTGACGAGATTGGATGGTAAGCCGTCACCTTTCCGATTCTTAAATGTTTGGACAACAAAGCCGGGTTTCATGGATGTGGTTAGAGAGTGTTGGTCTGGATCCCTACCAGGGTCGCCTCTCAAGGTGTTATCGGAGAAGCTCCGAAAGATGAAACATGCGCTTCGCCAATGGTCTAGGAGTTCTTTTGGGGATATATTCTTGGAGACTCGATCGGCAGAGCAGAAGGTGGCAGAGGCCGAAATAGCCCATGATGACAACCCTTCCGAGGAGTTGATACTACAATTACAAGAAGCACGCGCTCGGTTGCGGAATGCTTTGAGGGTTGAAGAGGAGTTTTGGAAGCAGAAAGCACGGGTTAAGTGGTTGGAGGATGGTGACCGGAATACGGCTTTCTTTCATTCTATAGTGACAGAGAGAAGGAGAAAGTCGGTTATTCATCGAGTTAGGAGGACAAATGGCGAATGGGTGGATGATGAGGCAAATATTTGTAATGAGGCTGTCAATTTTTTTCAGGGTTTATTTACAGAGGAGGTGGGATGTGTGCCCAGTGACATGGTGGAGGTCATCCCGAGGGTTATTACTGCTCAGGATAATAGTGGACTGACGGAAATCCCTTCCATGGACGAAGTGAAGGAGGTTTTGTTCTCGATGGATGGGGACAGTGCCGCAGGTCCGGATGGCTTTACAGGTAAGTTTTTCACGACTGCTTGGGAGGTGGTTGCTACGGATATTCACCGGGCTATTGTGAGCTTCTTTTGTGGCGCGGAGATGCCGAGGTGTGTAACAGCTACTAACATTGTTTTGTTGCCTAAGGTTCAATGTCCACAGGATTTTACACAATTCAGACCGATAAGCTTATGCAACTTCATTAATAAGGTTATTTCTAAGATCTTATCCGTCCGTCTGGCTAGGGTTCTTCCTCGGATTATTTCTCTGCAGCAGAGTGGTTTCGTTCCAGGACGACAAATGGCGGACAATTTTCTTTTAGCTCAGGAGTTGCTGAGCGATATTAGGAAACCCAATCGGGGAGGGAATGTGGTGATCAAGTTGGATATGATGAAGGCTTACGATAGGGTATCGTGGCTGTTTTTAGTACAAGTCCTTCGGCGTTTTGGGTTTAGCGAACTGTGGATTGATATGGTGTGGAGGCTGGTATCAAATGTGTGGTTTTCTGTACTTGTAAATGGCTCGCCGCAAGGGTTTTTCAAGTCCACCCGAGGCTTGCGCCAGGGTGATCCGTTATCGCCGGCTTTGTTTGTCATTGGAGCAGAGGTACTATCTCGCTCGCTGAATGCCTTGGTGGCACAGAGGTGTTTCCGTCCCTTCAAAGTTCCGAGTGGATGCCCTACGGTCACGCACTTGGCATATGCAGACGATGTGATCGTTTTCACCAGTGGCAGCAAGGCTTCGGTTCGTTTGGTCAAGCAGGTAGTTGACGGGTATTGTTCGATGTCGGGCCAGCGAGTTAACTGTCAGAAGAGTTGTTTTCTGGTACACCCCAGGATGCCTCCGCAACGACGTGGAATGATCGGGACAGTTACGGGCTTCCCGCACAAGTCGTTTCCTATCAAGTACCTTGGATGTCCTCTGTACATTGGAAGGAGGCGAGTGTATTATTTTGCAGAGATCTGCAGTGCGGTAACGGCTAAAATATTATCATGGAAAAATCGGGTCCTGTCGTCTGGGGGCAAGCTAGTTTTGCTAAAAAGCGTCCTGTCTTCAATGCCGATCCACTTGTTAGCGGCTACATCACCGCCAAAGGCAGTGTTCGTGGCCCTTGAGAGGGTGATGGCAGACTTTTTGTGGGGGTCTTCGGAGATTGGTCCTAGGTTTCAGTGGATAAGTTGGGGAGAGCTTCATGCATTCTCCCTTAAGCTTTGGTGGAATTTTCGTCAGCAGAAGTCGCTATGGGCGCAATTTCTATCGGCGAAATATTGTAAGGGGGAGCATCCTTGTTTAGCAGAAGAAGTCTACTCGCAATCCTTCACTTGGCGGAGATTAAGGTCAGTCCAGGAATTGGCGGAGGAGCATATTGGCTGGGTCCTTGGTGACGGGTCCATGGATTTCTGGCATGATAATTGGATGGGTACAAGAGCGTTGTGTCATCGGGTAGAAATTTTTCATGAGCATAAGGTGGCGGATTTTGTATCTCACGCGCAATGGAATTGGCGACTGCTTAATCAGATTTTGGCACCGGAGCTGGTGAGGCAGGTGATGCAGGCATCTCCTCCGGCTTCCAGAGGGGCGGATAGGATGGTCTGGACTTTAACGTCTGATGGGGCATTTTCGGTAGTCTCGGCTTTTTCCGTTGTTTCAGAGTCGGC